TTTCTGGCCTTTTTAAACCTTAAAATGGATCTTTAAAAGAACTAGTCAGGGATGAAACCTTCTTATGAGGTTTAAAAGCTGTTTGTGAATCCATTCATCTGAATGGAAAACGGGCTGGAAAACAGGGAAATGAATTAATTAATCTAATCTGTTTTTACTCCCAAGAGTTCAAGATTTCTGTCCTTTTAAAGCTAAAAGTGCATCTTTAAAAGAACTAGTCCAGTAAACCTTCTTATGAGGTTTAAAACTTGTTTGTGGATCCATTCATCCGAATGGAAAACGGGCTGGAAAACAAGGAAATAAATTAATTAATCTCATCTGTTTCTACTCCCAAGAGTTTAAGATTTCTGGCCTTTTAAAGCTAAAAGTGCATATTTAAAAGAACTAGTCAGGTAAACCTTCTTATGAGGTTTAAAAGCTGTTTGTGGATCCATTCATGTGAATGGGGGGGCTGGAAAACAAAAAAAGCAGATAATTAGTCTCATATAAATGAATTCATCTCATCTCTTTTTAATCCCAAAAGGTTAAAATGCTAATTTATGTCCTTTTCAAACCTAAAAGTGCATCTTTAAAATAACTAGTCAGGTATGAAACCTTCTGATGAGTTTTAAAAGCTGAATATTTGTTTGTTTTTTGGGCAGTTTTTCAGAGAACAGAGGGATATAAAAGCTGGCTTCCCCCCCCCTTTAGCTGTTTCTCGGATGGTTCGATCCGCCGGTCTGAACCATCTGAAAGCGGGGGTGCCCACACCTGGGCTGTTCCACTCTGGCCCAGAGAAAAAAAAACTTAAATATTAAGTTAAAAATTTACATCAAATAAATGTAACTCATTTAAAATGCTTTAATTAATAAAAAAAAAAAACAGAATTATGTAAAGATAGTACATAGGAATAAAAAGATGCAGAAAAAAGCCATACAAGCTAATAAACCAGTTAAATGATCAAAATAAGGACACTGCAATGAGAAATCAACTAAATTCAACTAAAAAGAAATTAATCTAAAGGTTTGATTTTAGGTTTAAATGTTGTAAATATGAATAAATGTTGTTTGAGACAAAAACTGATGAAAAGTCCAATTTTTTAGATGAAATTGGTCTTTTCTTGTTTATATTTTTTAGTTATGAATCCCGATTTTAGAGCTCCAGGAAAACTAACTTAAGTTAAATGTATTATTTTTCCACACGGTGAACATTTGAACCCTAAACCTAATTTTTAAGGCTGTTTTTTGGGCAGTTTTTT